GCACGTTAGCCTCAATAAGAGGTCATGTTTTATCAGCACTGGAGAAGGTGTGAACAAGCCTGTCAATATTTAAATATGTATTGAAGCAAAATACTTTTCGAAGCCTAAATCTAAGACACAGAGTTTAGTTTATTTATCGGTAGGATTGTCGAGGGGAACTTCAATAGTTACAATTAGTGAACAAACATCAAACGAATGACATGTACGCACACAAACTGCTGAACAAGGTGCTGACCCGTTTCCCTCTATTCACCGGGGCTCCGTTCACACACACTGACCGCTGCGGCTAAGCTAACAAAGCTAACCAGCTGGGATCATCACGAACGTGACAACAGACAGATGAGAGTAAGTAGTGAAGCTGTCGTTTATGTGGAACAGCAGAGCTAACGTTACTCACCTGACCAGCAGAAACAACCTCTGAATCGGTTTTTCATTCCTTTCAAATCTCGTAGATTTATCCAGCATTGAAACCCCTCACAGATGTTAACACAGGTCTTCCCCTCGCCTGGTCATATAACTTGTTTCACAATTCCTCAGACCCTTTCCGTCTGTGGCTGTTTCTCAGTCAGCTTCGCAGCTAAAGTGTCCAGCATGTTCGAATGTACTGCTGTTTTACGTTCTCCCTCCCACTGCTCGCTCCGAGCGGCTTTGTTTGTGCTCACTTTACAGACCCAGAGCTGTGTGTAAGAGCACATGAAAACCAGAGAGCCACCTACCCATGAGGAAATGTTCGTATTCATATTCTCCAGACTTAAGGCAACATGCTGTTCGATAAGTAGAATCTGATTGGTACAGACCCCGGCTAAGATCACATCGTCATCGTAGTGCGGTTTGTTTGGACCGATGTTAAAGCTGTCAGTGGAACCCTGCTGCGGACCAAACAACCAAACCGAGACCGCTTGAACTTTGGGTCTCGGTCCGCTGTTCACAGCTGCAGGATTTTCTGATAACAGGTGTCATTTTTAGCATTATTTTAAAAGATACACAATTCATACATCCATCTCCCAGTCATTCGTCATAACATGCGGTCCATTTGCAGTCTAATAATACTAATTATCAGTTAATTCTTTGTGAACTTATTGTGACACCAAATAATATATTAAATATAATATACTAAAGTGCTGTAAAATCTTCTGTCGGTCACTGGGTTTAGATTTCCTCACGTTGGTACTGATGAGTCAATCAGTGAGTTACCTGTCAGTCTGCATTACTTCACGTTTTCTCGTCTTGGTTCGCTTGTAAAAAGTCAGCGTAAACTAAAGTACAACCATATCTGATCTTTTCCCTTGATCCGGACCATAGGTTGTGTATAAAGATGGAAGATAAACCCCGCCCCCCCCTCCATGTTAGCAGATGGGTGTTTATTTTTCTTATTTGCTGTCCCTAAATTTCGCACTACAGACTAAAACAATGTTTAAAATGTGCTTTTAAAATATCCACCATGTCCGTGTTTTGTGACGTAATAGAAAGAGTATTTAAAGTCATACTGTCAGGGTTTCTAAATACCCTGGTATTAATACGCTTATATCTGCTTACAGCTAGAGATGTAAATTTCACATCACAATCATAGTGACCAAAATTATCACGGTTATCAGTATTATCACTGTTGTCATACCATATCAAATGTGCATTATCATTAAAAGCTGTCATACAATTATTATATCTGTAAATGCAAGGCCCCCGTGCACAATTACATAAATACAAATGATAGTTAAGAACACAGCGATAGTAACTGCAATGATCCCAACAGCTGACACAAACATAGAGGAGGCTTGTACAGGAGTTTGCAGAGTTTCTCCCCTGTTGGACATTTTTACATCTAATTCAGTTTATTTTAAACAAACAAAATATGTTGTTTGGAGACTAAACTGTGTTATCATGTGCAGTGGGCGAATGCAGTCTGCAGACAGCAGCAGAACAACGTGTAGCGTTTTTACAGAGCAGCAACACTGAAAGCTTCAGTGTACAAGCTGTTAGCAAGTCAGAGAGACAAACTAAAGCTAAAAGTTAACTCGCCCTGCGTTCGTTATAAGGGAATTTTCTTCCATCAAGTTTCCTTCAGTGGTCTTATTTAAAACAAAATACGACCAGACTTCAGACGGGATGAAAAATCTCTGCAGCCATGTTGTCATTGACCCAAAGTTTTTCAAAGCGCAATAACCGAAAACGGTTATCATGATAACTAAAATGTTTTCTGTAAAACATCCATCATTAAACCTGTAACTGTTTCATCCCTACCTGTAGTGTGTCATAACCTGTTTATTAAGTGTTTATTAACTGCCTTTAATTGCTAAATATAGGAGGTAGGTGAAGTAAAGTGTCATCTTTAAACACCCCAAACCACAAGATGAAACAAACGCATAGTTTTGTTTAATAGTTGATATTTGGGGACATTTATTGTGGCTCATATATTCCTGCACACTTGCAAAAACAGAGTAAGTAAGTTAAGTAAATGTCCGGGTCCGTGAAGACTTTAAGTGTCTCCTCAGCGTCCTGTCCTGCCGTTGGCCCACCGCCGTTTTAAACTCGGTCTGACGCGGCGTTATCACTGTGAAGTATTTTGAGTCCGGCTTCATCTGGCGCAGCAGATGGCACGTGTGCTGGCAGGGTTCGGTCCTCGGCTCTTATCTGAGGCCGACAGAGTTTCACAGCGAGCAGACGTGACGTAACACTCAGTCGTACCTGCTGCACCTGTCCACCTCCCAGAAACCCTCACTGCACCCCAGTGAAACACGCCAAAAGAGATGCACCCCACATCCAGACCTCCCTCCCCCTCCACCACCTCTAATCTTATTCTCGCCGTCCTGACATTTTGAATATATCAGTGGCATCTCGCTGTGACTCAGCACCTTTCCTGCCAGCCACACGAATGAACTTTATCAATAAATGTGTGGGAGGAAACGTCTTCTCCTCCAAATGTACGTGTTTGTGATCGAGGTAATGATCTTATCTGGTGTATTTTATTTGGAGAGAAGGCCAAAGTGTGATTATAGTGAAATGTCCTTATCGCTCCTTTCGTCCCACTTAAAGTTAAAAACACAAAAACATTTAGTTTATGGTGATGAAAGTCAAGGAAAAGCAGCGTTTTTAAGAAGCTGGCGCCAGAGAGAGTTTATTTTTACTTTAGAAATGATGGAAACAGTCTCGCACTCTGCTCCGGTAACAGTTACATCATGATTTATTTGGAGACGTTTGTTTCCATCAACCTGTTTTTATGCACATTTTCAGTTTGTGCATTTAAAACCGAGGAACTGGGAGGAAAAAAAAGTAAAGTCAAATCGGCATAAGAAGAGTTTCCTGTTGTGTAGAAGTTTGTGAATAAACAGAATAAACGCCGCGGCTGAAGGTGAAGAAAGCATCAGCTGTGCGGAGCGATCAGTAGGCCGTAACCTTCATCACACTGCGGCTCTTTTAATGACGTCACCTCGCTGTGTCCTCTTCTTCTTCTGTGGTGGTTTAAACAGCCGCGACTGGAGAATCGGCTCCTCTGACTGTTTAATCAGCCAGTGAGCCCGTAGGCTTCGTTCAGACTGCAAACCAGATCTGTTTCTCAGATCAGATCTTTCAGACGGGCTGTCCGCACTGATCCGCAAGTGATCAGATGGGATTTGTGTTTTCAGACTGGGGATGTACCGAGAACCGATACTTCCGTACCAAGTTGGTACCACGTGACTCATTTTTCTAGGGAGCAGGGATCCCTCGCGTAGAAGATGGTGACGAGAGCAGCAGCAGCCGCAGCTCTGCCATCATGTACGGAAATTTATGGGTGAATTTTAATATTTAACATGCGTCGGTTTTCGTGTCAAAGCCTCGATTTCTCCCAGTTCTGGAATATGTTGGAGAGCTAATGTAGGCAGACGTTTCACAGTTTGGATCAACTCAACATCACCAAAGATAACGATGCAGTTTGCAGCACAAAGAACTGAATATCTGTCCAACGCACCTGTTTTTGTAACATAAAAGTCAAACTACTGCCAGTAGAGGCAGTGGCCACGCTTAAACATTTAAGTTAATCACTTAATGAATTAATTATGCACATTGCATGGTTGTAATTTCAAGCTTGCTCATTTCTGAATATACTTACATCAAACCTGGACGTCCTCTCACAACTTTCACAGCTGTTAATTGTTAAAATGTTTCTATTAAAGGAGTGGACATGGGATTTATTGTTTTGTTTTTTTACTGTCAAATTTGGTATCCAGAAACACTGAAGCATGAGATCTGGCGATCCTTCATCTCGCCCTCCAGTCTCGATGTCCAGTGTCTTTGCAGAACTCCTGCGTCGCACCAAATAAACTCCGCAGGATTCAGCTCAGCTGCTCTGGATTTGATGTCGTCGTGTCATGTGAAGCGTTGCGAGTGACACAAAAGACACCTTGAAATCAGATTTTAGTGGACGGACTAACCCTAATCCGCATCTGTTGAAATCCGATTGAGATCACATTTAAACGTCCAAACGTGTCTCAGATCCAGTTTGAAAAAATCACAAACACTTGCCCAAATCTGGACATTTGACACTTTTTTTGTCTTATATGATGGTAAACAAAATATTTTTGTGTTCTGGACTGGTGATTTTCAGTCCTTTCTGACAGTTTACAGGCAGAACAGATTCATCAGAGTTGAACAAATTTCCCAAATTTCCTTAGTTCAGTTTATAGTGATATAAGACAAAGAAAAGCAGCAAAATCTCACATTATTGAAACTGGAACCTGAGAATTTAGTGCATTTTTTTTGCTTAAAAATTTACTTAAAAGTAATTGACTATCAAAATAGTTAGGTTTATTATTGTTTTAATAGATTATCGGGCTAATTGTTATTCAGCTGTAAATTAAGCCGTGGTTTATTCATGATAAACGCCCCTTAACTCGTTTGTGTTTGTTGTGGGATGCTGGAGCATTTTGTCTGTGATCTGTTCTTCTTGCTCCTGAAAGTTTTGTCTGTCACATGAGCCTGTTGGTCGCTGATAAGCCCCGTGTCTTCCACGCTCTGTGTTTATCTAGGGCCTTGCCCAGCTGGAGATCCTGTGTAAGCAGCTGTATGAGACCACCGACACCGCCGTCCGACACCAGGCAGAGAAAGCTCTGGTGGAGTTCACCAACAGCCCCGACTGTCTCAGCAAATGTCAGCTGCTGCTGGAGAGAGGCAGTGTGAGTAGTCTCAGTGCTGCACCTGCACCATCTGGGGCCCAACAAGACCAATACGATTACGGTGTATACAGAAATGTAGAAGTAGAAAAGTATTATCAGACAAATAAATCAAATGTAAAAGTACTCCTGACCTCTGTCAGAGCGTATCTGATACTATTGGATTATTATAACTGATGCATGGCTGTGAGCTAACGTTAGCAGCAACTAGGGCCGAATAACTAATTGAAATCTGAGTAACAACAGTAAAACAACCTACTGCAGTTTTCAAATCGCAGGAGGTGCAGTATTTCTTAAAAAACGAAATGTGCGTAAAAATAATTTAAATTAAATATTGTGCTTCAGAGACGTCCTGGCCAAACATCTTTGTTTGGTACAGATCCATTTTAATGTGTCTTCAGTGAAAATGAGAATAATTATATAAAAACTTTTAACTCCCCCTAGTAGGGCTGGGCGATGTGGCTAAAAATGTTATCACGATAAAAACATTTCATACCATTCGATATCGATAATTAATAAATGTCAAAGCATTATTTCTTTGAATAGCAGATATTTGCTCCCAAACAGTGGATCACTTCACACATCTGACGTAGAACATTCAAAACTAAAACTTTAGTAAATCTCTTTTTCAGTCCCTTTTCCTCAACAAAATAAATATCTTAATAGAAATATTAAGTGCTAATTCGTTCGTGATTCAAATGAATTGAATCAAACATTTATTGATGATGTATTGAACATTTATTATATTGTTAGAGGAAAATTATTATTGTTTTATTGCCCAGTCCTACCCCCTACTATCGCGAATCATTTTGCCATTGCAGTATCAGTGAAAATAATCGCAGTTAGACATTTTTTAAAAATCGTTCAGCCCTCGCAGTGACTGACTGAAGCCTGAAAGGACGGAAGCAGTTTGAATTGTTTTTACTGTGTGATTAAAGTTCAGTTTGGTGCAGTTGTTCCAGATGTTTCCTTACGCTTTCTGCTGTCAAGAATATTTAGATGGATGTATTTGCAAAATACCAAACATAATGATTTTCACTAACACAGTATTTTTCCTCTCTCATCGCAGTCATCTTATTCTCAGCTGCTTGCGGCCACCTGTTTGTCCAAACTGGTATCTCGAACCAGCAACCCTCTGCCCCTCGAACAACGCATTGACATCCGTGAGTACATCTCAGTTTTTCAGGCCGACCTGCGTTCGGAGCAGGCGTGGTGGAAAAAATGATCACAAACATAAAACATCCATAATACAGAGTTGTGGGTCTGTTACTGTCTTAATGCCAACACATTTCTCATTCTGCAACGGAAGGCGAGAACGTTGTGATCAATAACCATGAACATCCACTGATGTAGTGTTGCTGCTTTCATAATAAGATTATCAGGAATTTTCTGCTCTCCACCAATATAGAGATAAAATAACTCCTGATTTTTAGGTAATGAGAAGTGAGTTTGAGGAAAATGAAAATAGATTTCATTTGGAGAGCACAGTTGGGCTCACAGCCTGCAGTCAGAACCTCCTCTGATACACGAGGCCTGTTTGATCAGTGTTATTTAAATAGGAAACACTGCGACTATACTGCACATTTATATATTTATATACTATAAAGAAAAAAGACGTTTTAACTAAAGACATTTTCATTTCTTTGCCAACCGTCATCGCTCTGTTTATAAACCTGTCATTTGATTGTTCCTGGAGATTTAAATCTGAAACAGGATGTGGTGCAGTTTTCAAAAATACCCCTGTTAATAGTAGCACAGAAAGTCAAACCGCTAAGGTCAGGTATTAACGTTTAGCTACTTAAATGTAATTTCTCTGCATTTGAAAGAGAGAGAACAAGATTGAGAGAGTCTCTCGGCTGTGTCGCTCCTCTCTCCTGAAGTTGTTTTCTTTTGTACAGGGAACTATGTGCTGAATTATTTGGCCACTCGGCCAAAGTTAGCAGCATTTGTGACCCAGGCTTTGATCCAGCTGTACGCAAGGATCACCAAACTGGGCTGGTTCGACTGTCAGAAGGACGACTACGTCTTCAGGAACGTCATCGCTGATGTGACGCGCTTTCTGCAGGTCAGTGTTTTAATTATGTGGTAGAAAACCTGCAGCAGCCGCAGTGTGTGTGTGTGTGTGTGTCGCTCAGCTTGTGTTTGTTGTGTTTACAGGACAGCGTTGAACACTGCATCATAGGGGTCACCATCCTGTCCCAGCTGACCAATGAGATCAACCAGGTGGGATGTCCTCCTCTCTTTTACCTCCATTTTTCTTCTTCTTCTCTCTGTGAAAATGTTGTTGTTGGGGTGAAAATGTTTAACGCTGCCTGTTTCCTCCTCAGGCTGACACGACGCATCCCCTGACCAAACATAGGAAGATTGCATCGTCTTTCAGAGATTCCTCCCTCTTCGACATTTTCACGCTTTCCTGCAACCTCCTCAAACAGGTACTTCTTGTTTTTTTTTTGTTTTTTTATCTTGAGAATATTGAAACAAAAAGAGGGGGAGGAAGCCAAACTTCTGCTAATGCAGGTGTTAAAACAGGAGACTTCCTTGAGACTCTTTGGCATGTGAGTCTTTAAATAAAGACTAGCAACAAAGAACTTTACGGTTTGCTTCCTTTCAACATCAGAATAAAATCATCTCTGAATGAAACTTATGAGATTATTAGATCATTATCTTTTAACACTGTCCATAGTAACACTGAATTATTACCATTAGCATTAAATTTACGCGCCAGAAACTGTAATGAAAAGGACACAAAGGTGTGAACATTTGTCATATATCCGGAGTAACACCCTAGATTGGGATCTTTCACCCCGGAGGGAAACCATGAGAGGGAAATGTAACACGGGACTCTCTCATGAAAAGGGGCGGTAACCTCTGCGACCTCCTTGTTTACTTCCATACGACAGCGTGCCGCGTGTGGCGTCGTATTGTTCTTCTTCTACACATGTGGGTCTCTCTCACGCTGTGGCCAGTTCACAGTTCAGTCTGATATGGGCCCCATTTAAAATGAATGTGAACAGCCAGTCAAAAAATATCTGATCTGGGTAATAAATCAGAATTGAGCTTGAAGGCCTGCAGTGTGAACTCGGCTTTTAATTAACAGGACTCAATTAGTTAGGGGGAAAATAATCAAATTTAGGCAGACTTTATGTTTGGGGTATTTTTGTACAATTTAATAACTTCAAACAGAAAAAAATAACCCCAGTCAAAACTTCCCTTTTATTATTTGCTCTTTTTAAAGAGAAACAAACAGTAAAAATTGTAAGCAGCTCTTAACAAATATACCAGTAACGGTAAAGCGCGTCAGGTTAGGCGATATCAAAGATTCTTAATCACATTTGTTAAAAGAAGTCTCATCATCCAGCAGAGAGCAGCTGGAGCCACCTGAGAAAATCCCCTCTCTGCGCTGAGCTGCTTTCACTTTCAGTTTAAAATAATTCCCTCAGCAGACGTTTTAAGAGCTTAATTGTTGGCAGAGCCTGACCTGCTGTTACAGTCGGTGGATAAAGTCAGTTTATGACACGTATGACACAGATGGATTAAAATATACAACCGATCAGCTTTTTAAAAAATTAGGTTATTATAGAGAACACGGTACTGAACATACTTTAATCGTCTCTTTGTTCCCAACCAGACAGCAAACAGAAGTAAAGAACGTGCAGGCTGACTGAAGCTGAGTGTTGTTTTGTTTGTTTCTTCAGGCTTCGGGGAAGAACCTGAACCTGAACGATGAGTCTCAGCACGGTCTGTTAATGCAGCTGCTCAAACTCAGCTACAACTGCCTCAACTACGACTTTATAGGAACTTCCACAGACGAGTCGTCGGACGACCTCTGCACCGTACAGATCCCCACGTCATGGAGATCAGGTAGCTGCGGCGTGCAGGCAGCTTACTCAGGCTGTGAACAGGCGCTGAAGAGTTATTATATCATACCCTTTAATCCCATGTCTAAAGTATAATAGTGTAAGCCCTGAATTCAGTTTCAGCCCGGTCTAGTGGTAGAGCGGGTGATCTAAGGACTGGCAAGGCTGCCACAAGATTTATTCGTTTCCATTTTATATTACATTACATTTTAAAAACATGTCGTGTATTTTTGCATAAGAAACGACAGCTAATCATTTAAGCTCAAATTTTATAGGATGTAGTTACATTTTTCTTAAAGTAATTGCATTATAATTAGTAGGACAGTATTTCCCTCTGAGGTGTAGTGGAGTAGAAGTAGAAAGTGGCATGAAAGTGGTACAAGTACCTCAAATTCTAAGTGAAGTACAGTTGGAGTGTGAAGAGCTGAGAGCAGCTGAGATCAGTCGAAGTGTTAAGAGATGAAAGCATGTGACAGTTTGGTTCAAGCCCTGCAGGAAGTTGGATTATCAGACTGTCAGAGATGAAGGTATTTGAAATGGTTGAAGCACTAGAGAGAGTTGGAGGTATGTGACATGAGTAGTAAACACTGGAATCACCGTATTAAAAACCACGTAAATGTGCAGTTATTCTGCAGCTAAGGTAACATGACGGCTCAGGTTTGCTGCTTGTCAAAGTAACCGGCTTGTTAATAAAGCTCAAAGAAATGCTGATGATTCTTAGTAGTTTGGTTGCAGTAATGTTGATGTTATTATAATGTTAATAATAATTGTGTTATTTCAATGGGCGCTGAAAGCATCATGTTGAACACCCTGTGATCCTGCAGTAGATTACTTTTGATAAAAACTTCAATATCAACTACAGTTAAAACGATTAATTGATTTAAGTTGTTTATTAAGCAGAAGTGTCTAATTCTCTTCATCTAGCTTCTCCAGTGTGAGGATTTTCTGCTTTTCTCTGTTTTATATCACAGTAAACCGAAAATGTTTAGTTTCTGAACTGTTGGTTTGACAAAACAAGACATTTAAAGATCAATAAATCAAGAAAATGACCTCCAGATTAATTGTCAATGAAAATAATCTTTAGTTTTAGTCTTGTGTAGCATTGTCACTCTAAAACTGACTTCTTATTCTGTTGTGTTTCTGTCTTGCAGCGTTTCTTGATTCCTCCACCCTGCAGCTCTTTTTCAATTTATATCATTCCATCCCTCCGTCCCTTTCCCCGCTGGTAAGTGAGATGTAGTTTAAATCACGCTAACAGGACCAGAGGAACTCGTGCAGCCTCCTCCTTCAGACTGAGTCACTGTGTTTGTTTGCAGGTGTTGTCGTGTCTAGTTCAGATCGCCTCTGTCAGGAGGTCTCTCTTCAACAATGCAGAACGAGCAAAGTTTCTTTCACACCTGGTGGACGGAGTCAAAAGGATACTAGCAAACCCACAGGTTAGTTTCTGCTTCACACAGAGATTCTTTTTCCTTCACTGTTCCTGTTTCCAGCCGGCTGTTTGACGGTGAAAACTGTTTGTGGTTTAGTGTTTGCCAGATCCTAATAACTACCACGAGTTCTGCCGGCTGCTGGCGAGGCTGAAGAGCAACTACCAACTGGGGGAACTGGTCAAAGTAGAAAACTACCCTGAAGTCATTCGCCTCATAGCCAACTTCACCGTCACCAGTCTGCAGGCGAGTCTTAGCTCTTTATTTCTACGGTCTCCAACTAGCACTGAGATTTCCTGAAGGCTGAATAGATGCTTCTGTAAGACAGCAAGGAATAAAGATTTGGAGGCACTGTCAAGAAAAAAATAAAGCAGACTGCAAAAGTCCACTGCAAAAAATGCCACATTACTTCTCTTTGGGGTCTGCAGCTGTAAACATAGTTAAATACAATGTTTTTTCATCTGCTATCTGTGATTGATGTTTACAGGACATTTTATGCAGCATAACACGTCCCAAATCACAAATACGTCTGGTTTTTGTTCATAAGAGATCTAACAGTGAGTCAAACCTCCAAAAAGAAGTCCTCTTTAATTTAACATACTGTACATGAAGGGATATATATTTGTTAATGCAGATCCCAAATGACACACAAACCCTTATTAACAATGCTTTATGATCATTTATTTCTGTCACCTCCATCAAATGATCGAGTCCAGTTTGTATCAAACTGAAGAAGCAGAAACACTGTATTGATACCTGATAGAAAACTGTTGTTACAGGTACTCACTTTGCTAATCAAAGCATTAAAGATATATAAATAATAAATGTAAATCAAAAAATATAAATAGTGTGGAAATATGTTCAGTATTTTCCAGTATGTGACAGAAGTGTAATGAATAAATAGTAGTAATAATGATGAATACTGATTATGTTGAGTCGGAATGGATTAAATCCTTAAAAAGGGTCACCATATTGGGTTTTAATAAGGTCAGAATTAATATAGAATATTATATAAAAGGTATAAAATTAAGGCGTAAGCTGTGATTATTATTTGTCAGGTCTGTGAGACCTGAAAGAAAGAGGAAGTAAAGCCAACATTAGCAGTTCTGGGTAGTCATGAAAAGGTTTTAGGGCTGAAGTGAAAATAAAGCTCAGGTAGAAGTCGGTTCTCACCTGTTGCTCTGCTTTCTGTGTGTCAGCACTGGGAGTTTGCCCCCAACAGTGTTCACTACCTGCTGAGTCTGTGGCAGCGTCTGGCAGCATCGGTCCCCTACGTCAAAGCCACCGAGCCTCATCTGCTGGAGACCTACACTCCCGAGGTCACCAAGGCCTACATCACATCACGGCTCGAGTCGGTCCACGTCATCCTCAGGTAAGATCTGCTGGAGTTTCTGTTTGCTCTGTAAACCCATCAGCTTTATATCGTCGAACCAGTGTAAGAATTAGACCCCTTGGATCTGCGTTGCATTGGGCTGAAGAGACTTTTCTCTGTCAGTGCAGTTTTTGGTTGACTGGGACGTTGTTGCAGATTTTGGACGTCACTTTGTTTAGCTAATCCTGCTTTTGGTTTTAATATTAACCACCTTAGGCTCGCCAGAGTATAAAATATATTTGTGATAATTAAGATAGATAAGATAGAAAACCATGGCAACAATGTCAAACCATTCCTTTTAAACTGGAATCATGGATGTTAAATTATCAGTAGATTCAAACACTGGACGACCCCACCGTCTCGGCACGGATCACGGACTGTCTCTCAGACATATCCGCATTGATGAAGGCTGGCCACCTTCAACTAAACCTCTGTAAGACTGAACTCATTCCAAAGTCATTCCAGCCAAGCAATCGATCCACCGTAACATCAAATTAAAAATTGGCTCCTCGACCATCACTCCTACCAGGGTGGTCAGAAACTTGGGTGTCGTGATTGATGACCAGTGATGTTGCTGCTGTCTCTCGGTCGTGCCGCTTTGCTCTATACATCATCAGAAAAATCAGACCCTACCTCACTCAATAAGCCACCCAGCTTCTGGTACAGGCCATGGTTATCTCTCGCCTCGACTATTGCAATGACCTCCTAGCAGGTCTTCCAGCTTGAGCAATGAAACCCTTACAAATGGTTCAGAACGCAGCGGGGCATCTGGTTTTCAATCAATTCAATCATGTCCACTCCTTTACTTGACAACCTCCACTGGCTCCTCGTGGCCTCCCGAATCAAATTCAAGTCACTAAGGCTGCATACACAGTGACTACTGGGTCTGCACCCATCTACCTAAACTCCATAATACAAGTTTATGTTCCTTCTTGACCGCTGCGCTCCTCTAACGAACGCCGCCTGGCTCTGCCATCCCTACATATAAAGCAAGCTTAGTTCATGTTCTCATCTTTGACACCACGATGGCGGAACGAGCTACAACATGCCGTCAGAGCATCTCTAACTTCAAGAAGCTCTTGAAAACTCTTCAGAGAGCACTTCCTCCTCAACGTTTCCAAAAGTCTTCTTTGCAAATATGTTATGAGTAAGTAAATGTTTGTTAAGACTTCAAGAACAAAGACTTTTAGGTCCCAGACTGAATAAACTGTGTTCCCGCATGTTTTGACTCCACAGAGATGGGTTAGAAGACCCTCTGGATGACGCTGGCCTGGTTCAGCAGCAGTTAGACCAGTTATCCACCATCGGGAGGTGCGAGTATGAGAAGACGTGTGCTCTGCTGGTCCAGCTGTTCGACCAGGCAGCTCAGACCTACCAGGAGCTACTACAGTCCACCAACTCGAGCGCCGCAGACATCACTGTGCAGGAGGGTACGAGCTGCACACAAATGGGGATTGAAGCTCAAGCTTTAAATTGGAAGTTGGATTGTACTTGTTGAAAATGTTTCTAATTCTTATTGTTTGATATAAAACCATATGCTCTGAGCAGTGGCTACAGTAATGATAAGCAATGTATTTTATCTTTGTAGCATGTCTTTAGTAGTCTTTATAAATCATGCTGATATAATAATCTCCATAACTGTATACTCTTAGTATAAATCACGATGTGGCTACTTGATTAGTAAATTATTTGAAACTTGACATCTTGTTTTCAGGATGCACATGTCGTAAACGTTGTGTTACCTCTGCAGGTCGGTTGACATGGCTGGTTTATATAATCGGGGCTGTGATCGGAGGACGGGTGTCGTTTGCAAGTACAGATGAGCAGGACGCCATGGATGGAGAGTTAGTCTGTCGGTAAGAATACAAGTTTAAAACCCTTAAAATACAATTTAATTGGTTCTGAAAGGGTTTTTATGCTTTATTTTAGGTCTCCTTTGCTACGTAAAATGCTGCGGAGATAGAAAATTAACCTTCATCTATTTTTGATAATGATTCATTGTTATCAAATTACTCAAAATTCCCACGGTTTAGGTTCTCACCTGTAGGGATTTGAAAGTAAACTGATTATTTTTGGGTTTTGGACTGTTAGTGGCCCTGGGCTTATTTAATGTAGATTTTTATCCAAACTAAATACATTTCATATGTTTATAAGTTCTAGCCACATGAAGGGCTAGGATCAAGACTGAATTGAATTGTACACTTCATATTTTGGAGACTTATTATCTTGATCTAATTAGTTGTATTCAAATGGCTGAGTCATCAGCATAGAAAAGTATATTTTCAGCAGAAGCACATTCTAGATAAATGGGCCTCAAGTCCATTTAATTATTTTTCCTGAAATCTGACTGTAACTTATAAAACAGATTGTAAATAACAAATACGCCGCACTAGAGGTAACACTCAATATGGAAATTGGTTTATTGACTTAACAATGGATCTATGTGCAGTGGTTTGCTGTAATTAAAGAACTGACTGCAGAGGTCTTAAAATCACGTTCTGTTTCTTCGTCTCAGGGTGCTCCAGCTGATGAATCTGACTGACTCTCGTCTAGCTCAGGCCGGCAACGAGAGACTGGAGCTGGCTATGCTCAGCTTCTTTGAACAGTTCAGAAAGATCTACATCGGCGATCAGGTGCAGAAATCATCAAAGGTAAGCACTGCTTTTAATGATGCTGCAGTTGTACTGGATGCTGTAGTTATCAGTTAAGCACATGACCCGCTGTGTTAAATTAACCCTGACATGGCTTCACACACTGCTGGCCCCCCTCCCGTCCTCAGTAACCCTCCACTGTCTGCTGTTAATGGGGGCCAAGTTGGTGGGAATGAGCAGGTCTTTTGTCCTGAGTGGTGTCTGCTAGTGCTGACTGCAGCAATTTCTATAGAGCCACACAGTCTCGGTCTGCTGCTACTCGTGTTTTACTATTGTGTAGTTAGACGTGGTGTGTATAGTACAGCGGTTCATGCTGACTGACGGAGTGTGTTTTCTTTGTTCGGGGCAGAAACTGCAAATTGTGAACCCAGATCCCAGATAAGTGGCTGAAAGTAGAAACCATAGTTTGTTTCCACATGTGCCCTTATGGTTTGGTATTAGCTCCGTCTACCTTCAAAGTTTCACCACAGTGTTGTTTAGTAGAAGTAGCATCAAATCTGCAGATATCCCAATAACCTCACAGTCACTACTGTAGATCAAGCTGCTGGAGCCACAGTAAACTGGATCAGTGTTTATTGGGGACCTAATGATCCCTAACTTGTGTATCCATGGTCTGAGGTTCTGCTTTTGTTTCCACTGTTCTCCACCCACTTCTGGGGACAAAATGTTTGTTACGGTTTAAGAGTAGATATTAAACCCAAGCTGCAGGTAGAGGCTGCATTAGACTTTCTCGTTGGCCGTCATTTTGACAGGGTGACAGGGTTATCATAATCCATTTATTACCAGTCAGTTAAAACAACTCTATCCCAATACTGGCAATCTGTACAGGGTGTACTCCGCCTTTCGCCCGATGTCAGCTCGGATTGGCTCCAGCTCCCCAGCGACCCTTTACACAGTATAAGCGGTTGGCAATAGATGGATGGATGAATCAATCACAATAACTTGGATCTAGTGTTTAAAGGTGCCACAATATCCTGGTATCTGTCCAGCTAAAATATTAGTTTATTCTCAAAACTTAATGGCTTATTCGGGTTTCTTAACACAGGATATGATGTTTGCATGTGCATCACATGACCAGGAATCTCCAAAAACCTGAAAACATGCTCATTAGCTCATTAGCACCCAGCTTCTCTTGACTCCCAAACAAGCAGCGCGTAAGTCAAAAATGTAGTGGGAGCACAAAGCAGAACCTAGAACCAAAGCTGTACAGGTTCTTAAAGTTTCTGGTCATGTGAAGCTCTAGATTGCAGCTTGTTAATTTCCCTTTTATCATTGGAAAAAAACGTCCTCCAGCAACCGTCATTAGAGCAGCTGTAGGATGTATGACATCGTGTTGTCAGCTTCATGTGTGACTGGCCCCGTTTCCTGTCAGCTAAGACTTCTGTCTGGCACTTAGTGAGGCATCTGCTCGTTATTTTCTACAGATCTCGTCATGCTTCTTTGTCTCTGCCTTGTTGAGCCGGACACTGAGCTACAAAGACCTGATAGTTGTGTGCTAATGTTACCGCCTGTGATTTGTCCAGCAAATCCGGATTCTGTCCATCAGTTCTTAATCCAGCTGATCTGTAGTCTTAAAGCTGTGATTTAACTTAACTTTTACCGACTCTATCAAATAATTTTCACAATCTAGCTTCAATACAGTGGTGAAAATAGAGGCTTTGAAGTGCTTTTAGAAATATGTTGTGCCAAACATTTCCATTGTATTAAAATAATCAAGTTACGTTTAAAAGAAACTTGCCAAACTGATGCCTGTAAGAACAAAAGTTATGTCAGACCGTAGTTCCTGTTTCTGTGTGTATTTTGATCGTTGTGAGTGTTCATATTAATAGAGTTGTTTGTGTGTGTGTGTTTGTTTAATTGCAGCTTTATCGACGACTATCAGAGGTTCTGGGGTTGAATGACGAGACGATGGTACTCAGTGTCTTTATAGGGAAAATGTGAGTAACAAAAATAAAAATGATCACATGTATCTGTGCACCGCAGGTTAGTTATATATTTGAAACCACAGACAGGTTTTTGTGTCTGCACTTATATAGCTATATATAAAAAATTACGTCACTAATGAAGCGTGTCAGTCTCATTTTTAACCTCCTGTTTAACCAGGAAGTCTCTTCTCGAGACACACGTTAATTATAAATAATCTTTTCTCTCTTTCAGCATCACAAACTTGAAGTACTGGGGCCAGTGTGAACCAATCACCTCCAAGACACTCCAACTACTGAACGACCTCTCTTTAGGATATCCTTGATGTGTGTGTGCGTGTCTACGTGTACCTGTACCGTGTACCAGATTACAGAGATAGAAGAAGTACTCAGATCTTAATCTTAAAGTATATCTTAAGTAAAAGCAGTAATACCACAGTGTAGAAATACTCTAAAGTCCCACATTGGTTCAAGTGGTTCTTAAGTAAAAGTACAAACACAAAATGAATGCGTCCAAGATATCCACAGGAGCTTTTACCAAAAAAGTGAAAAGTGATCCCCGGCTTCCCTGCAGGGACTCGGTTTTGAAGCTTTTAACTTTTTCATCCTGCTTGAGTTTGCAGGTCTGAGAGTAAATGTAATGACGCGCTAGGACTTGAAAGCACTTTCTTGGATCTCTGTTTTCTCCTTGACTTCCTGTTTGTGCACATACAGCAGTGTGAGGAAGCTGGTGAAGCTCAGTGCCGTCCAGTTCATGTTGAATAACCACACAGTGAGTACAGTCCTTGCACTTTACGTTACAGCGAACACACGCAGGTACGTGTTGTTGTTAACATCCCGTCTGTCCGTCAGAGCGAGCACTTCTCCTTCCTGGGAGTGAACAACCAGTCCAATCTGAGCGACATGAGATGTCGGACCACCTTCTACACGGCACTCGGACGCCTGCTAATGGTCGATCTAGGTAAGCACCGTTATTTCTACAGCGTGCAGACGAACTGACACAACTCAACTTTTTAACTAAATGTCAGAGCAGCTGCTGTGTTTGATGCTCAGAGTGGTGATCAGTCAGTTCATGTTGACGTCTCGGCGAATGAATGAATTCATGGGTTGTCCTTCAGATTAGCTCCCGTGGAGCCACAGTGCACAAACAAAATACTCATGTTGCTTTGTGCTGCTAACATAAACCTTTCATGTACAGAAGTCTGCACCCTGATACGATCTGGTTTCTGCTTGGTTGTTTTGTTCTGTGCTGTGCTGTGACAGTTGTTAGCTTTAGAAAATCAAAAAGACGCGTTTTAACTGAGCGTCCTGTCTGTTTGTGTCCAGGCGAGGACGAGGACCAGTTTGAGCAGTTCATGCTGCCTTTGACGGCTGCGTTTGAAACTGTGGCTCAGATGTTGAGTACAAACACCTTCAACGAGCAGGAGGCCAAGGTGATAACACACACACACACACACACACACACACGCAACAAACCAGGGGGTGGACTGACAACGGTAGCTCCGCTTTAATTTTGAGAAGCAGCAGAGCTGCAGTCTCTATTTAATACTCAGTGAAACTTTCAGTGTACATTTCCAGCTAAACTGAGGCTTATTGTTGATCCCTTTCTCTCTGATCGCTTGCTATTCACCGGCCTTGTGCAGAGTTTTGCCGGACGGCCGACAGCTGCATGCACGAACTATTTAAAAACGATGTAATATTCTTTGTGTGGTTCATCAGTGGTGATAAATGATCTGTGCGGACACGTGAGGTGAGGCTGGGGCTCCGTCTCTCTGCTACTAGGCTACAGCATTAAACATTAACTTATTGGGAGAAAACTGGTAGTTCTATGTAAAATCACACGTTGAGCACCCCCATATTGCCAAAATGGCATGATCCTCGTTTCACTGCGAAGCTTCGACTGTGAGATTGACAGTGGAATCAGACTCCACCCATGGAAGCATCAAATCTTGGACTATTCGGGGTCAGCCCTATGGGACTTGTTGTCTTCATTGTTAAACAGCCACCACTGCCGATGAAAGTCTACCTGAAGTGACTCAGCGTGTTTTAATTTCAGCAACATGTTTCATTCTGACGATTTTCTTCTTCTTCCTGCAGAGGACTTTGGTGGGTTTGGTCCGAGACCTGCGAGGCATCGCGTTCGCCTTCAACGCCAAGACGAGCTTCATGATGCTCTTTGACTGGATGTATCCTTACAGCTGACCGTTACTGATCTCAGAGCTGCTAACATGAAGCCACAAAACTTTTTAATTCATCACAGCCTCTGTAAGAACTGTCTTTAACCCAGAGCTGCAGATATCCAGCCTACATGCCCATACTGCAGCGAGCCATAGAGCTTTGGTACCATGACCCAGCATGCACCACGCCTGTCCTTAAACTTATGGCCGAGCTCGTCCACAACAGGTAAACAGGCTCAGTAACAGCTGCTGTCTCTGCAGAGGCCGACTTCAGGCTGTGGACACTAAAATAAAAGAGGAATAACGGCTTCATCAGGAACCTTAGCTGTTCAGTCTGCACTGCAATGCTTCTGAAGTGTTTATTTATGTTCTCTGGTGCCACAAAGAGCTCGCAGAGAAATATCTGATTATCAGATGAGATGCACCAAGATGCTTTTTTATTTTTAAAGGTCTGACCTGCGATCCAATTTTCTATTCTACTATAAAACAGCATAAAGAAAAATCTTTGTAATCTATGTATCTTTCTTTCTTTATTAAGATCCCCCTCAGCATAACAATGAACTATTCATCCTGGGGAAGAAAAAAACCTTATTAAATAATAAGCTTAGTTAAATAACTTTTAAAAAAACATTTACATTTTCTCCCAGACTGCAGCAGGTCACAGGACCTTCTCTCACTCACTAAAAGTGCTCCAGGCTGATGAACAGAGCTTCTGTACAAATGAAATCAACTGAAAACAAACTGCAGTATTAAGTACGTTACATAAGTCATGTGACGTAACACTCCCAGAGAATAATAGTTTGCCCCCCTGTGACTCCAACTGTTTCCTCACAAACTGCTTTAATCTGCTCACCTTGCTTTTCCCTTCTGACACACACACACCTCCACCTGCCTCTCTCTCTCTCTGTGTGATCGGCACCTGTCACAACCTATTAAGCTCTAAATCGTCCGATTTAAAAATATCATTGGACTGTAAATCAACGCATGTTATGGATAATGATAAAGTGGCAGAGAGCAGGACAGAATCACTGCATTGGTTACTGCTTCGGGATCAATATGTCTCGCACTGTTTACTGACCTGAGGATAGAAACCAGCACGTCACTGTGTGATTCATCAGGGCAGGTAGATGGACAGTTAGACTGATAGGTAGGTAGAGATAGTTCAGTAGGTAGATTGAAAAGTTAAAGTTTTGAAATCGTGCTAAAATCACACAGAATCCTGTTGTTGGCCTGTTTTGGTTTCATACCACAAACGAGTCCCTTTGGAACCAGACTGAGATCCTCCTTATCAGGTGGTCCTGGTCCAGTTGTTTTCTTCCACACCTGAGGTTAATCAACAGCTTTCACACCAGTATAAACAAACCTATCTAAACTGAGCACCAGCTCGTTTTAACCGACCGGGTTTGGTGTGAAAGCAGATTCTTTACATGTTAGATAAATATTCCCATGTGATGAAAAGATCACATCATCTTCAGTCACCACTTTCCTGAGACGGATAATTCATTTTTCATAACTAACCTGTGTGTTTTGGTTCTTCTGTAGATCACAGAGGCTACAGTTTGATGTGTCGTCGCCCAACGGGATCCTGCTGTTCAGAGAAACCAGCAAGATGATCACAACCTACGGTAACTTGACCAGACGCCGTATCAGAGTCTCATCAGCTTATGAAACGTACTAAAACTGACTGGATAAACTTAACACATCCATGTCGGGCTGGAAACAAACTTGTTTTAGTTGATGCAGTGCCATCAAAGATCATTTCTTTACATCATGTTTCTACAGCGTGTATGACAGGATCATAAAACTGTTGAATAGTTTCATGATACACAGACGCCTGAAACGATCTTGTATTCTGTTGTGGATATTTATATGTAACTGTTCTAGAGCTGAAATGATTTGTCAATTAATGGATTAGTCAACTGATTAATTCTCTGCAGCAACTCAACTGTGAGGGTTTTCTGCTTTTCTCTGTTTAGTATCTTTAGAATTTGAATATCTTTTGGCCTTATTTGTTTTGTATTATTATATTTGAAGATGTCACCGATCGTATCCAGCTCGTCGTCACACAAACTGTTCTGTCTTCCTTCGTGTAGGAAATCGTATCCTGACGCTGGGCGAGGTCCCGAAGGACCAGGTGTACGGGGTGAAGCTGAAGGGGGTCAGCGTGTGCTTCGCCATGCTGAAGGCGGTGCTCAGCGGAAACTACGTCAACTTCGGGGTCTTCCGTCTGTACGGCGACGACGCTCTGGATAACGCCTTACAGACCTTCATCAAACTACTGCTCTCCATCCCTCACAGTGACCTACTAGTACGTTCATCTGTTTTTATTCTGACTCTGACTTTATTACAATTATACCTACATCACTTCTGACTCTTTAATATAAGATCTAATCTTTATTAAGCACAGGCTCAGAGCTGCTGCAGGATTCTGCGCATGACAGCCAGATAAAGACCATAAAGAAATGAGAAAATCAAATTTTTTAAAGGGGCACTGATAAAAGCAGGTTGGACCATGTTTTGACTTGCAAATTCAATTCAGTATTTTATCTTTTATAACTAGATAGTTAATAAAGTCTTGTATCTAGAGCCATTTATGAGGCTTTTCAGATAATAACCTGAGCTGGTTGGTCTGGACACAAGTTTTGAAATGTTTTAAGGGGGTCTTTCTGTTAATTAAGGCGTCGGAGACTTCTGTTATTAAGCACTAGGGCTGCAACTAATGATTTCTGTTGCTGATTAATCTGACAAGTTATGTACTTGATTCATTGATTTAAGCTGGGGTCAGCGACTCTAACCCAAAACACGTCTTTTTGTCCGCAAACATCTCCTCACGGTCTGCTAGCTGACCGTTCTGTGAGCGCTGAAAAACAATCCGGTGTTTGTACACAGCCCTCGTTAAAGAGGAAACAAATACATGACACACACATCCAGCCATGATGTGTGTGTCAGTAACGTTAAATGACCTGCCCACGGACATTCACTGTCTGGAGCTGCTGTGCTGCTCTGGGACAGTCTTGTCCTCTCTGCATGTTAGCTTCATGTTAGCTTAGCAGCAGCAGCAGCTGTAGCCACAGTATGCTAACCAACAACATCACTAATGTTAGCTACATTACTTGTGTCGCTGTTTGCTCTGTATCATCGTATTTGTCCTGGATTTCTACAGAATCACACACCCCACCTTTAATCGTTTGGTCTGTAAAATGTCATAAAGCAGAGGCGAAAATCCCCGTCACACTTTCCAAAGCCCAAAGTGAAGTCTTCAGATGTCTCGTTTTGTCCAAAACCCAGAGATAGTTTGAAGCTCCTCGCAACTGAGCAGCTGGAAATATAGGGAATGAATTATCAAAAAAGTTGCTGACTCGTTCCAGCTCTGTTGTCCAGACAGTTTTAATCACACGCCTCTAAGACAGACTTAATGAGAAACGCTCAGTCTTTTTGTCCTGCAGGATCTCTGACACACTAACCCGACTCTTCCCGTCCCTGCAGGACTATCCGAAGCTCAGCCAGTCCTTCTACTCTCTGCTGGAAGTGCTGACACAAGACCACATGAACTTCATCGCCAGTCTGGAGCCTCATGTTGTCATGTACATCCTGTCTTCAATATCTGAAGGGCTCACCGCACTCGGTAAAACACTCGGACGGCGAGCTTGAATTCACATGAGCGTGCTCATCACGGTGGTTGTTACATGTGCGTGCGTGTGTGTGTGTTTCAGATACGATGGTGTGCACAGGCTGCTGCTCCAGTCTGGACCACATAGTGACCTACCTGTTCAAGCAGCTGTCGCGCTCCACAAAGAAGCGTCCCACTCCGATGGCAACAGACGATCGCTTCCTCCACATCATGCAGCAGCACCCAGAGATGATCCAGCAGGTCAGAGATCAGCTCGCACATAGTTCCTCTCCCCAACCAAAACCTCAACATAACTGCAGATCTAACTGGGTCTTTATTGTAGTCATTGCTTGTTTTTGTAAGTTTAATCCTTACGTTTTTGTATACTTTTTTAAAAAACAATATACATTTAAAAAAATTTTATAAATGTAAATCCCCTCATATGTGCAGCTGACAGTTTAACCACTTAAAATGTTTAGTATCGTTTTGAGGTTGCTTATTTCTTCCATTGTGGTACCTTTGCTGCCTTGTAACAATGTAGGTAATATTAATGCAGTCTTGCTTTCTTAAATGTAGTAAAACAT